GAATAAAGTCTCGAAGACATGCAGGAGAAAGTCCTCGCCTAAAGACACTTCCTTCCAAAGGAAGTAGGTCCTTACGAATTGACTCCACCCATTTGGAAGAATTTGGGTAGGGGACAACATGAAGGTCCTCGCACCGCTCTAAAGAAAGGGTGCAGAGGCAGACGCACACCTGCTTTAAGCAGGTATTCACTGAAAGCTACGCAATCTAGCCTTGGAAAGCAAGCTCTTTCGTGGGGGTCAGGCACTATCAGCTCTACGTAGTGGGGTATGCGATAGGTGTTCCTAAGTTCGTCTAATTTGGAAGAGGTTATGTAGGATAGAAGAGGCTGTCCCCCAACCCGCCTCGTAATCTATAGGTTTCTCGGACATGCTGTACCACTCATCCGAAGCCCACATATCGACTCTTCCCCACTCCTAGCCACTGTAATAGCCATAGACGTCTTGGCAGACATTGCAAGTAAAGAAAATTGCGAAAAGACTACGGAAATGGTGTTGAAGGGTAAAGAGAGTGCTCTTTAATGAAAGAATACCTAAATGGATGAGGAGATTCGCCGGAAGACTCGTCGGAAAAATTTGACAGCAAGAAAACTTGGGAGGTTTTGATGAGTGTTTCGCAAAGATAAAGTGTGGAAATGGTAAGGTTCTAGCCTTTATACCCCAGATTAATACGTGTGTATACGAGCAGGGCTTGGCGCGTGAACGTTTTCCCCAACATCATGCGTCCTAATAATTAGCCATCATGATGCATTGAATGCAAACGGCTGTACAGTTATTGAAAGTCATTTCGATGCAACCTACTTACCTTGGAAACATGCAAAACCTTCATATCGTAGGCACTAATATCCAGAAGGTTTAAAAATGGATTCAGCCTCGCCAGTTCGAATAGGAGCTCGCTTCAGCTTAAAAAGGAAATCAGCCTCGACCAGTTCGAATATGAGCTCGCCTCAGCTTTAAAAGGAATTCAGGCTCGCCAGTTCGACTACGAACTCGCCTCGCCAATAGGAAATCAGCCTCGGTCAGTTCGAATATGAGCTCGCCTCAGCTTTAAAAATAAAATCAGCCTCGACCAGTTCGAATATGAGCTCGCCTCAGTTTTCAACAGGAATTCAGCATCGCCAGTTCGATTCTAAACTCGCCTCGCCAAAAGGAAATCAGCCTCGGCCCGTTCGAATCTGAGATCGCCTATGAGCTCGCCTCAGCTTTAAAAAGAAAATCAGCCTCGGCCAGTTCGAATATGAGCTCGCCTCAGCTTCAAAAGGACTTCAGCTGTGAAGGCAACTTCGCTAACCTTATGCATTAAATTTTTTGAAAGTCCACGCATGGCATAAAATAACCACACATGGACTTGGGGGACTATTGTTACGGTTCGTAAATGGAAGCGACACGTGGCACCATATTGCAGTGATGTGACCAGCTTAGTTGAGCCAGGGTGTATTTTCCTAGCCTTTGACGTGAAGACCGAGACCCCAGCTTATTCCAAGGCCCTAACTGATCCGAGGCTTTCGTTTATTACGGGGCTATATTATCAATGAAGATTCAAGTGGAAAAAATATAGCAATGATGAAGATCTTCATGTGAGTGATTGATGTGACTTTTGTGAAAAGCAACTTTGTGTCTTGTCTTGTCAATGTAAGAGTATTTAATGTTTTGTAAGGCTAGGAAAGTCAGCTTGATTGCTAGGATTTGATACTCTGGCCGAGGAGATGAGTCCATTTGTAAATTGTTTCAAAGGTCATTGTTTCATTTGTAACACTATAAATACCCCCATCATGTAACACAATAAAGGTAATGAAAAATTCCAAATACTTGAAGCAATATCATTCTCCTCTCTCTCGTTGGAATAGCGAATTTCAACTATAAATCTTTTTTTTTATCGATTGGTTTCTCATACAATTGTGTTACATTTATCTTGCCGGAAGCTCGAACGGAAACGTCTCGTGTCTTTGAGCTATTCCCACGTTCAGTTTCTGGAGTTATCTTGACCGTTGATCGGCATTAACGTGTTGGATCAAGATTACGTGTGTAAGAGTGGGCCCGGCATCTGTTGACAACGTATTTTGGGGTCGACAATTATTATTATTATTATTATCGTTGTTGTTGTTGTTGTTGTTTTTTTTTCTGGATTTAGTTTAGTTATCTCTTTGTTATGTTTTAAAATTTCAAGATTTTGAGAGAGATGGGAAACCCCAAGTTCCAAACTTTCTAACAAAGATCCAGGGAAAAAAATCAGCTAGAATTTTGAGCTCAATCACTTTTTTGAGCTCTGTTCTTGATATCTTTTCTTATTCATTGTGATTACTGTCTTTCTGTTGTTGCTTTAAAGAGTATAGATGGGGTAAGTGCAAGTATGAATTTCAATATTTTATTTATGTAGTTACCAATTTGTTCGATGTTTGAATGGCAGGTGGATGGAAAGATAACTATCAGATTAGAAAGTGGTAACAATGATGATAATTGGCAACTTACTGTGGGATGCTGTCTTCCTGGAAAGTGGATTCTTCACTGGGGAGTTAATTACTTAGGTGATGTTGGCAGGTTTGCTTTTGCCTTATGAGTTACAAATTTCAAAATTTTAAATGATTCTAACTTGGGGTCAAATCCCCTTATGCTCGTGTTCACGCATGCAGTGAATTTGCTTAAGATAATTACTCCAGTCACAACAAAATAAAATTTTATGTTCCCATGGTTGCAGTGAATGGGATCAACCCCCTCCAGATATGAGACCACCGGGTTCTATTACCATTAAGGTAAATATGTTCATTCTCCATTGATGCTTAGTATTTTTTTTTTCAAATTTTAATCAATCTCATATTCTTAAATGTAAATTGATATTGATTGCCATTTAAGGACTATGCAATCGAAACTCCTTTAGAAAAATCACTTGCATCATCGGAAGGAGAATCAATTTATGAAGTGAAGATAGACTTCAACACAAACAGCGCAATTGCAGCTATAAATTTTGTATTAAAGGTGATTTTTCTCTTCTTTCTTGCTTCTCGGTACTTTTCTTCTTTGTTTTGATATATAATTTTAGGCTTTGTTCCCTTATCTATAAAACCCCATGGCTTTTTTTGTTGCCTTTGGTTGTTATATTGATGGTCCAGGATGAGGAAACTGGATCATGGTATCAGCACAGAGGAAGAGATTTTAAGGTTCTTCTTATTGACTGCCTTCAAGATGAAGGAAATATTGTCGGAGCTAAAAAGGGTCTGGGCATCTGGCCAGGTGGTTTAAAATTTTCTGTGTTGTATATTATATAAATTTGTCTTGCCCTTAATAATAGCCATCCGTCCAACTTATATATTGATACCATTCATAGATCTTCGTTAGCTGACATGCTTCAATGGAGAACATGTTAATAATCACGGAATCCATGCATCACAGCTTAGCTTTATAGCTGGCCTGGAAAGCACGATGCGCGTCGGACTCGTCGGGCACCGACACGCCTCCGACATGTTGCCAGTACGTGTCCTGGCATGCCAGGTGGCATGTACCTTTATTTTTTTGGATTTTCGACGACTGGAAAAGATGAAAAAATAAAAAAAGGAAAGGAAAAACTAACCCTAACATGTCAATTTAGCTGGGTTCTGGAGTCTATAGCCCCAAAGTATCATGGGCTTTGGAAAATTTCTGGCATCCCCTGTGGATTGCAGTATCTTGATGGCACCTCATGGGTGGCTGGAATCCTTTGGTCGTGGAAGGCAAAGAATTTTCAATTTTAAGGGTTTGGTAATTGGGTCAAATTGTTTAAAGTGGGCTTGTCACTTTTTAAGCGGTCTGGATAATTATAAAGTGGGTCAAAGATTTTGAGGTGGGTGAAATTTTTTTAAAGAGGGTTTATAGCTTAGACAATACTTTTCTTGCTCAAACCCTTTGATTTATAGAAAGATTTAAGCTTTATTTCAAGAGAAAACTCTCCTTCAAATTCTTCAATTTTTTTCTCTGACATAAAAAAATAAATAATTAAAAAAAAAAAATTAAGTTAAAAAATTTTAAAAATATTTTAATCAAAGTGTTGGCTACTCATCTCGTCAATACTTTTTTGAAAAATTGTGTCAGCGTGTCGGACACTCGTGTCCGTGTTGGCGCTTCTTAGTAGCTAGCATATGCATGTTGAGTGGACTAACGTAGTGCATGTTGATGAATGTATGTCAGTGGGGATTTTGTCGCTAAGATCATAGCTCATTCTAGTTTTCAACACAATAAACATCACGAGTCATTCTGTTATTTTCGTAGCATTTATTCTTCATATCTTTGTGCTTCCCATGATTATTTTCTGTTCTTCACAATTCACTTGAATAACTCATATTTTATATCAGGGCCTTTGGGTCAGATATCCAACATTCTCCTTAAATCAGAAGCAGCTAATTCTAAGGAAGACATTGGGGAACGTAGTTCGCAAAAGAGGGGTCTTCAGGGTTTCTATGAAGAACAGGCTGTTGTTAAAGAAACCCTTGTTGATAACTCAGTAAGTGTGTCTGTTAGGCATTGTCTGGAGACGGCCAAGAATCTTTTGAATATTGAAACTGATTTACCTGGAGATGTAATTGTTCACTGGGGTATTTGCAAAGATGAAGGTAAAACATGGGAAATTCCATCTGAGCCCTATCCTCCTGAAACAAGCATGTTCAAGGATAAGGCTTTGCGGACTCGCTTGCAGGTATATATTAAAAGAATTGTATGTTTTCAGCCTGCCAAAACAGTAGTATCCATGCATTTTTTGTCAACTCTCCAGAGTTTTCGTTAAATTTTCTGAATAGCTACTCCATTGTTCTTATCGTTAACTATGCACGTTCCTACTTTGCAGCGAAAAAATGGTGGGCATGGCTCATCGGGATCATTTATATTGGATGAAGGATCTGTGGCATTTGTTTTTGTGCTGAAGCTGAATGAAAACACATGGTTGAATTGTCATGGAAATGATTTTTACATCCCCCTTTCAAACATTAGTGTCCCTGCCATTCAGTCTGGGCAGACACATTCTGAAGATGAGGGACAAAATAATGAGTCCAGTTCTTTATTGATATCTGGCAATGCTTCTGAAGAAAATCAAGAAGTTTCTGCATACACAGATGAAATCATTGATGAGATAAGGAATTTAGTGACTGATATTTCCTCTGAAAAGAGTCGAAAAACAAAAAACACAAAAGCACGAGAGAGTATTCTCCAAGAAATTGAGAAGCTTGCTGCAGAAGCCTACAGTATTTTCAGAAGTTCTATTCCTACGTTTATTGAAACTGATCTGATAAAAGAAGTTGCTTTAGAACCCCCAGTAAAGATAACTTCAGGGACTGGTTCGGGATTTGAAATTCTATGCCAGGGCTTTAACTGGGAATCTCATAAATCTGGTAAATGGTATATAGATCTCCGCGAAAAAGCTTCAAAATTAGCATCACTTGGTTTTACTGTTATCTGGTTACCTCCACCGACCGACTCCGTGTCACCTGAAGGCTACATGCCAACGGACTTGTATAACTTAAACTCCAGGTATTATTTTGAAATTCTATTGTTATTTGTAGCTGCAATTTGCTTAGTTTGATACCAAACTTGAATTTATGGATGACGTTTGGGCTGCAATGTAGAGAACAGTTTCTATTCATTTTAGTCATAAAAGATGTATTGGCTTGTTGCCTGTAAGATCCCACCCCCTCTGTCTTGTAACTTAACTTACCATTGACATTCATATTATTCATATTATCATTATTGTTACTGTTACTGCTGCTGTTTCATTATTGTTGTTATTAATATTACTAAATGTGGTGGTCGATATTACTATGATGATTGTGTGACGATGATGGTATTTGTCAGGTATGGAAACATCGATGAATTAAAGATTCTTGTGAAGGAACTCCATAAAGTTGGTATTAGGATTCTAGGGGATGTTGTCCTAAACCACCGATGTGCACAATACAAGAATCAAAATGGTATTTGGAATATTTTTGGTGGTCGTTTGAACTGGGATGACCGTGCAGTTGTTGCTGATGATCCACATTTCCAGGTACACACTCCATTTTGGAAGTTCTAGAACATTTTTGAGCAATTAGAGACCAAAAATAGCAGGTCGGATGGATTAAATTGTAACGTCTTTCTTCGTAATTTGGCATTGAGATGAAAAATTAACCTTTAGAGTCCCTGCCCAAAACAAAAGAAAGATTGCATAAATAGCAATAATTGCATCCTTTTGCATTTTCTTCGATCAAAATGTTATTATGTTTACTTTATTTTCTCTTTCGTTCATTTTGATCAAGTATATCTAAAGTTCATAAAATGACAACAAATCAATTTGGATTCCTACACTTCTTACGCTGGTATGGGGTCATTAGTTTCTTTTTTTCCATTCCAAGAAAATTTACAATAGATAGCCTTGTCATGGTGAAAGTCCATTTACATACGGTTAGCACTCAATAAAGTTTGTTTGTGTTATTGGCATTTTACATTGCTTCACATTTTTGGGTACATGGTTGTTATGAAGCAATGCTACAGGTAAAAGCACCAGATATGACTGGCATAGTTTCTCTTTGACTTGTCATGTGAAGATTGACAAATGTCAAAATGCACCCTCTTTCACTTTTCAGTTGCTATTATTTTAATGTTCTTATATGCCATTGTGCCTATCTTTATTTTGCCCTTCTTGGAGGACAGAAAAGAAATATTTCTTGTTGTTCGAATCAGTTGCTTCCTTTTTTGGTCTGACTGACAAATGGTAGATATGTTGACAAATTTTAGAATTTGAGATGAACTTGTATGTTACTTTGTGAATTTTTTGAAAAAAGTGACTCAGCAGAACCTTTTTTATGAATAAAACTACATTTTGCCAGAGCCCTGTTGTATACCATTCAGGCAAAAACCCATAAGTTAGCTATGTTGCTTTTTAAAGAGTTGGCTCTGATTGATGTGATGTGATATCATTCTCTATCAGGGAAGGGGGAACAAGAGTAGTGGAGATAATTTCCATGCTGCTCCAAACATTGATCACTCTCAAGAATTTGTGAGAAAGGATATCAAGGAATGGTTGCACTGGCTGAGGTTAGTTAAATATGTTAGATTCTTCTTCCTGGCTTCGTGTAATAAAAGTAGCTAGCGTGTACAATATTGGAAAGTAACTGGTAATCAAATCCAAATTTATTCTTCCAATGTCATGTTATAGAGTAAAATTCTAGATTTATACTGGCAATAATATTATTTTAGGACAAATTATAGTAGTGCAAGTAAAAATCAACATCAAATTGGAAAATTTAGAGATGTTGAAGTTCGAAATCTTAATTCTCAATATACTTCTAGAACCCACCTATGTCTAATATTGGCAAGATAGGAATTGTATATACGTGCATGCTTTTTAATACTATTGGTTGCTAGATCCTTGCGGGTAATTAGGATGTTAGTATCTTAAGTTTTGCAACTTAAGTTTGTATCCTCACTATAACTAAGTTGGATAATTGAGACTGTTCATAGAAGTAAATAAATCAGGGTCTAGGAAATATACCAAGTTTTTCATTTTTATCTTTTATTCAGACATATACTGTTTACCGTTTTCATTTTCTGCGGTTGACATAGTGTATTTCTTGTCTCAAGAAGTGGTTATGGAAGGTACTAACATTTGACTGGTATTTATGGACATACAGAGAAGAAATTGGTTATGATGGATGGAGGCTTGATTTTGTGCGTGGGTTTTGGGGTGGTTATGTGAAGGACTACCTGGAAGCAACCGAGCCTTACTTTGCCGTAGGAGAATACTGGGATTCCCTTAGTTACACGTATGGTGAGATGGATCACAATCAAGATGCACATAGACAGAGAATCATCGACTGGATTAATGCTACTAATGGAACTGCTGGGGCATTTGACGTGACAACAAAAGGGATTCTTCATTCAGTAAGCTTATTGTTTCCATTATTTCTTATTTTGATTATGTTTTTGCCAATTGACCTACTTTATTATCTTTGGACATGAGATTAAGATAAACAGAATACTCCTCTATATAAGCATTTGTTTTTCTGTATCGCTCAGGCACTTGGACGATGTGAATATTGGCGATTATCGGATGGGAAAGGAAAACCTCCTGGAGTAGTGGGATGGTGGCCATCTCGCGCTGTTACTTTTATTGAGAATCATGATACTGGTTCTACTCAGGTTGGACTTCTTATTTACCTCACTTTCTTTGCATTTAACTGTTGTGAGTCGGTAAAACATTAATTTCTTCATTAATCATGTAATTCAATAACATTCAATTATTCTGCACAAAGGGATTCTTAAGAAAAAACTCCATGCTTTTTGGCTGTTGAGCCAAAGAAAAGAGACTGCATTGTAGCTCATAAATATATTGAATTATTAGATTGCTGCACACTGAAGTTGGATCCTTTCGTATCCGAAGCTATACAGGATATTGCTTAACTGTGCTGTTTTGTAGAATTGCCGTTCTCCATAGTATTTCTCTAGGTCAGGTTTTTAAGTAAATCTTTCTGACTTTTTATTTTTATTTTTTTTCCCATTGTCATGGCTAAAGGGTCTTGTAAAACTTGATGAATTAATCTTTTCCAAATCTCGATATTGCAGGCATCTAATTTGGGATTAGCTTGTTTATGTCCTTCTCACCATAGGCTAAACTGTTATCATGTGGTCGTTTTGTGTAAAATGTGTTTTAAGTTTAATAAACAGTCTTTCCTGTTGCCAGAGCTAAAAAAACACTTGATTTGTTCAACACGATATCCTATTTCTGCATGTCTCCTATTCTGAACTTCAAATGACAATGTATTAAGGGACAGGATCCCCATCTCATATATTTGATTTCTTCCATACAGATTTACATCTTTGAATTTGCTTAGCTGGTTTATTAATTGGAACTGATTAATTGTAAGCTATTTTCTCTTAATTTTTTCCTCTTATCTTGAAGGGTCATTGGAGATTTCCAGGTGGAAAAGAAATACAAGGTTATGCCTACATCTTAACTCACCCAGGAACGCCATCAGTTTTCTACGATCACATTTTTTCTGAATATCAATCTGAAATATCAACACTTCTCTCCATCAGAACCCGGAACAAAATCAACTGTCGGAGCACAGTAAGTTGTGGATGTTTTCGTCATTGTATATTTTAACTTTCGTTGGACTAGGTGGTTGTGCTTTACTTTGTCATATGCTAGATTTTCTAATGATTTCTCTCGAGCCAAAGTTGGTCAACCATAATCAATTAGAATTATTAACCAACCAGAGATAAAAATTCCAATAAAATAACCATAAATAGTATCTCATGAGAAATATAAATTTATCACTATGAATTACTTTTCTAATTTCCACGTAGCCCTACGAAGTGCTGACAACCGCCTATTTTTTCTTCAATGTTTCTTTATCTTAGGTTAAAATAGTGAAGGCAGAGAGAGATGTTTATGCAGCAATGATCGATGAAAAGGTGGCAATGAAAATTGGACCAGGTCATTACGAGCCCTCAAATGGCTCCAGGAACTGGTCGTTAGCAGCTGAGGGAAGAGATTACAAGGTCTGGGAAACATCATGAAAGAAATCAAAAATGCATTCTTTGCATCCAACCGCGGGATTTCTTCAGCAAACCCGTAATCCTGCAAACTAGCACGGTTCTACACACATGGTAAGTGGTCTGCAGCATGATTTCGACAGAGAAATTATGATGAAGTGAACAATTGATGTTTGAGGCAGGATAATAAATAAGTATATGTAAGAAGACACTGAGGGTTTCATTTCATAGCCCTCATTTGGAATTAAATTACAGTGCCTTTAAGAAAATTGGCAATTGAATTTTCTTATGAACTATGTATAATTCATGGAACACTATATATAATATTATTGAAGGAACGTCAGTTTGTTATAATTTTATCAGTTAGCATGATTGATATTTGAGTCTCCATCTCAACTTTTTTCCGGGAATGAGTACTCGAACTTCAATTATTGTAGTAAAGAGATAGTTCTGGTCCAAAATGTCACTTAATACGTTTCTCTCTAAAAAGCGTAGTTGTATTTGCTATCGAATTTTCTACTTGAAATTTCGAGTTTATAATTTATTTAAATGTAATCTCACATCTTTAGTTGTAAGATACAATATTATTGCAAGAATACTCGAATTTTTCAATCAAATTGAAGTTGTGTAATCAAATTTTAGCCACAAAAATTAAAGTTTAACTCAAAGTACTTGGCGAAATTGAGATTTCCGTGAAAACTAGATGCTTTTCAACAATTAGGGAAATAATCAATGCATACCTGTGTTATTAGATGGATCCTGTTGAATAGGACTTGTGTTGTATAGGTGTACAATATGCAATATGTGTTGTACTAACCACGACAATCATCTCATCTGAAACATTAGTCAAAGAGAAATCAATACAAATTGTCCTAAACACGAACCTCACACGTCGGCTAAATAATTTTTTATTATTATTTATTGTATGTGAAAATTGGTGATTAAACATGGTCCCAGTTTGATTTAGCTAAAAATCAAATTTTATTATATTTTAATGAAAGTCGATGAAATATGTGATTAAAAAGTTGATAAAAGTAGTTGGTCCTATAAAATGTATGATTAAAAATAAGTTCGGAAAAAAACGAAGTTTAAAAAATTAGACCCAAACATGACATATATTCATTTAAATTTCGTTGATGGTTTCTAATTTTCTTTATTTATTTAGAATCCGGCTACTTGTCCCGGGACTAAATCCCGGGTCAAACCAAATGATGCCCCCCCTATTGGAGGGCGGTCAGGGCAGACCCCCCTCCAATAGCAGATGCCCTCCAAAGAACTTTAAACCTAAAAATTGCAGATAAATCTAAAGTTAAAACTTCTAAAGTAATAAAAAAGTTTAAACATTGAGGTTAGTGGATTTTGTCAAGGCCAACGGAAACATTTTATTTCAAAATACATACAGTATATTAGCTTGAAATTGGTATTAATTTTATGATTGGTAATAACTTTTGCCAGTTATATCATCCATTTATTGAAGAAATTGAATCTATAAGTTTTACTCCTAACTATAAGAGATTGTGGATTCCGAAACAAAGAGAAGCCAAAACTTTAAGGTTTTACATAAAAATTATAAATAACAGATTAGCTGTTGAATACATTAAAAAATATTTAGAATATTCAAAACCATGAGTAATATAGAAATTGATTGTGAAATTTGTCATCACAAAATTATAGTACTTGTAATCGAATATGAAATGTTTAGTTTCTATGAAGAAGATTATCATTACTCTGTACTTGCTGGAGTTCATAGACTATCAAGTGAAGCTAAAAGACAAAGAAAAGAAAAAAGTTTAAAAGAATATGATAAAGCAGTTAAAGACTTCATTCTACATTATGTTTATAATCATCATTAATTATGGATCTTGAACCCCATAATAATGAAAATCAAGAAAATAATGAGATCTGTGAAGAGATTGAATTACAAGGAAACTACTCTAAAGAAATTCTCATTTCAGATAAGAAATTAGTAAAAATTTTAAAACAAAACTTCCTATAGAACCTATAGAGATCTTTGATCAACCTGATTTTATAAATAGATTTGTTAATAGAAATAGACATGTATATTATGGTGTATCTCAGAAAGAGTTTGTCATACATGTACAACATACATATGGTAAGATAGGAATTTCCTTACTTACTAAACAAGACATAAATAAAGCGAAACAAAATGTAGATCTTGATAACAACAAGAACCTTTATTGGGTAACTATAGGAACAATTCGAATTCAACTTGGAATTGGAGGGGGTCAGGGCAGACCCCCCTCCAATAGCAGATCCCCTCCAATGGTTTGACCAGGGATTTAATCCCGGGAAAACCAGCAAAAATCCATTTATTTATGTATTGTCCTATATTGTAGCTGAGAGCCTGAGACCACCTACAAAACTAATGACTCAAAAGTTAGCTAACCTCATATTTAACTTCTTACCTTAGATTTTAACTGGCTTTCCATTTTACCTGCCTCAACTTTCTGCCTTACCTTTTCTTGATATATACCTATTTCATTCCTCGTTGAATTCACGAAACTTTTGGCTATTCTTTGGCTATCCACATGCTATATAAACAACCTTATTTCTTTCTCTCAAGAAGGAGACAGATTAAGCGGATCACTGGTTAAAAATTCCAGTGATTCGCCTCTTGGTGCAAAAAGAAAAAAAATAAAAGACAAGCATCAAGAAGAAAAAGCTCCAAATGGCTTTCAATTTTAGAAACTTGGTACCTCTCCTTCTGTGTTTCCTTACCTTTGTTGCAATAATACAAAAATCCTATGCAGGTATTGCTGAATTTGATGACTACTTGAAGAAAAGGGCTGAGTTTGCCTTGGAGAGTTCTTTCGAGGCATATGATCCTAATCCTGTAGCAGTCACAGATCAATTTAACCAACAAGTTGGGGAGTAAGTCAGTTTTGTCGTTTGGTGTGCTGTAATCGTTAAGGATCTAGTTACTTTAGATTTTCGAACAATGCGTCTCCATAATCTTGTTCTCTCCTAAGGAGATGATCCCGGATCTTTTGGGAATTCGGCTTAGTTTGTTGATATTGTTGTTTTTCAAATTATATTTTTTGTTTACGAGATTTTGTTTCACATTTGTTTACTTGTCTGATGTAGGGTATTGACAAGTGGAAATGTGACAAGAAGGCATCTTAAAGAAGGTGGGTGCATGGCCACAAACCCTATTGATAGATGCTGGAGATGTGACCCTAACTGGGCTAAAAACAGGAAGAAGCTAGCCGATTGTGCACGCGGCTTCGGCCACCAGACTCACGGTGGTAAAGATGGGAGGTACTACATTGTAACAGATCCGTCTGACGATAATGTCGCCGCCCCAACACCTGGTACCCTCCGCCACGCCGTGATCCAAGACGAGCCATTGTGGATCATATTCGATAAACATATGCTTATTAAACTCAGACAAGAACTTATTGTCAATAGTGACAAGACTATTGATGGTAGAGGAGTAGATGTCCACATTGCCTATGGGGCAGGCATTACTCTGCAATTTGTGACTAATGTTATTATCCACGGTATTAAAATTCACCACATTGTTCCGGCCTCTGGTGGGATGATTAGGGATTCCCTTAAACATATTGGTTTAAGGACAACAAGTGATGGAGATGCAATCTCTGTGTATGGTTCTAACCATATTTGGATTGACCATTGTTCATTGTCAAGATGTACCGATGGCCTCATTGATGTCATCATGGCTTCAACTGCTATTACCATCTCCAACTGCAAATTCAATCATCACAACGATGTAAGTTTATATCGTTGTTAGGAACTCATTGCTTTGAGATTCACAAATTGAACTATCTCATCTAAAAGTTTAACGGTTCTTGTGCATGGCGCTATAGAAAATGAACCTGTAGATAAGGTCTTTTTCACGATTATTAAATGTTTGATGGCCTATTGCAGGTGATGCTATTGGGAGCAAACGATGGATATGGCGAAGATAAAATCATGCAAGCCACAATTGCGTTCAACCGGTTCGGAAAAGGTTTGATTCAAAGAATGCCAAGATGCCGATGGGGTTTCTTCCATGTCGTCAACAACGACTACTCCCACTGGCAACTCTATGCCATTGGTGGCAGTGCGCACCCCACTATTATCAGCCAGGGCAACAGGTTCAAGGCCTCCAATGGTCCATTCACAAAGGAAGTAAGTACTAGCTCGAACATTCTAACATGTATCAGGTAAACGAACGCGCATAGGTTTTTTAACGATTATTGTCGTTTGTTTAGGTGACAAAGAGGGATTATGCTGACAAGAGCGAGTGGATGAACTGGAGATGGAGATCAGAGGGTGACAAGTTCCTGAATGGAGCGTTTTTTGTTGAATCAGGAACACCCCTCAAACACGAAAGCAGTCCATTAACAAAGAGTAATTTGATCAAATTCAAGCCCGGTTCATACGCTGGTAGACTCACACGATATGCTGGTGCACTCAAGTGCCGTGTAGGCAGACCCTGCTAATTTTTATTTTTTATTTTTTAAAGGATCTTCATGGAATCTGGAAAATTAGGACAGAGGGGATTCATGGTGGAAAAATGAAAAAGAATAAAATTGTGAAGAGAAAAAAATATATTTTGTTTTGTTACTTTTTATTTTATCTTTTTGTCTCTTCATTTCCTTCTTTAAAAGTGGCAGCATGCCAAGAAAAATAATGGAAGGAATTTTGATAAAAAGTGTGTGGTTAAAAAGTAAAGAAAATTTATTGGTTTGTTTGTAGAATATTTTATTGTGTGAATGTGTGGTGGATAATGATATTTTAACAAATAATTTTTATACTAGTAAACTTTTTATTTCTAGGCAAATCTAGATACCTTGTCCTTATTCCCCTTATCTACGAGTAAAAAAAGTACTTAGTGAATAGTTAAATAAAATTACTTTCAAAATAAATAACTTATTCATATAATTTTAGAAATAAAAAATATAACGAAAGAACAACAAATCAATTGCTAAATACATCAAGGGCAAGTTTAATAAACACTATTACATGGTAGTGTACACTATAAAAAACAAAATTTCGGCTTCCTTTCTTCTTTAATGCTATTCGGCGTGCTATTCATTCCTCCCTACTATAACATGTCATAAGGGTCAAAGAAAGTCTTAAAAATACAATTGCTTATGACATGAACAAGCATGATGAAATATTAAAGAGACGACACGATCACTCGATGAGCAATGATTTTCTTGAGTTGTCATTTTCTACGAGTACAAGCCCTTATATTGTCCCCTTTCTCATAGCAAAGGTGGCAAGTGTAAGCCTTTTTTCGAGAGACAATTGGATCTTTGTACGAGCAGCAACAACAATTTTTGATTCTAGATAGGTTTGGAGCATTAGTTGTGCATAGCGATGGACCTAGGATTTTGAATAAGCACAGGCGGTTGTGGATCGTCGACCGTTGTCAGTAATAAAATATCAAGAGTCCCGTTTGATGCTCTTTTTTTTTTTTTTGCAAAAAAATGCATTTCTGAATAGAGATTTGATGAAAAATGTGTGGTTAAAAATAAGGATTTTTTTTTTTGAATTTGCATGTAATATTATTTTATTGAAAAATGTGCGGTTGAAAGAAAAGAAAAAAATGTATTTAAAAAAAAAAAGAAAATCAAATAAGGTCTAAAATTTAAATATAAAAATTATTTTGTTCAAACTGAACATATATGCCTCTGTTTGGTACACATTGTTTTTTTCATTCTCATTCTTCTACTCATTTTCAACCACACATTCTTCAATAAAATAATATTTTTCATCACATCAATAACTTTTTCTTCAATTTTAACCACACATTTTCCATCAATCTACTATTCAATAATACATTCTTTCAAAAGAATGGATCCCAAACACAATTTTGTTGTAAAAATTAACAATATTCACCAAATGATATTGTGGTCAAATTTTATATAATTCAAAGGAAGAATTGAATTTTTACAATTGCATTAAAACCACTAAAATGTAACATATGTTTTTCTAATAAATTTAGTACCAAATTCAAAGAGTGCAAGCTTCCAATAATCCTAAGGAGAAGTCACAGGTTCGAATCCCCTCACTATCTCATTTAATTTTGGTAAAAATTGTAGAATTAAAAATATTTCACAATAAAATTGAAGGGAAAGAGATTTGAAACAGGGACTTTCTATATAAATATATAAGTTCTAACCAGTTGAGCTACAAGAAATGCCGGTAAACAAAACAAATTACCAATTATATAAGCTAAAAAGTTTATTTATTGTCAAAATAATAATAATAAATAAATAAATAAATAGTTCCCGGCAGATCCAGCACACGCAACCGTCGGGCCTCTTCTGGTTGTGAACATGCCCTCCTATTGTATCCAGACTGACCACAAATTTTGCAATGATGGTTTATTGGCACCGCACTCTTCTGATCATTTGATTTTGATCTTGGACAAGTTCTTCGGTTATGCCCTTTTCTCCCATACAACCGACATCTGTATCGTTTATCTATTAACTTGTAGTGAACTTCTGGGCAATAATTTCTCCAGTGCCCCTCATGTCCACAATTTCTGCAATACAATGAAATCTCAGATAATGACAATTTCATAGAAACCATTGTGTAGAACTGTCACATGAGAAGCATTGCCAAAGATCCCCTGTAGTTGCTTCATATGAAATCTCCCTTGGTGAACAAAAATTTCAGTTTCATTTAAAAAGTTAATAGAAGAAAACTAAACAAGACCTTTCATTGAAATGCTTCTCTTGCAGCGGTTGTCTGGATCACGAAAGTAAGTTTCCATAGCTTCAGAAGCACGCGTCCTTGCAGCAGCAGCAGTGCCTTTAGCTTTCTGTACAAGTTAAAAACATTTCAAATAGAAACGTAAGAGTACTAATAATGATGCATGATATTATATTTGCCATTTCATTCGTGCTAAATCAATAAGAAGGAAGCTTTGGAGCTCTTCATGTACTGAGCTCTACTCAAACTCCATTTGTTAGCAGCATGGACGTTAAAAATAATAGAAGCATGATTTATAGCACAATTTGTAGGAATACTACTGAGTTCTTACATGACGGTCAACCAGTACCGTACCATGGCTAAATTCTTGATAATATAAGTTAGAAACCGTATCAATCACAACTAAAATAATTCTCGGCATGTTCTAACCTTGATGGCAGCCACTCTTTGTGCATGAAGCATAGGATCACCATGTAAATAGTACAACATAACCCTACTAGTGAAGGGTTTGGGCCAATCCAATAATACAAGCCCAATAGAAAAGGAAAAATAAACTAGTCCAAAAGTAGGTCCTCATCAACTCTGTCGGGGTGGGAGGAAAACTCGACTCTGTCGAGTAGACAAATCACAAAAGACCACAGCGGATGATCTATCTAATGAACCAAATATCAAAACTCTAGCTTGGTCTGGATTTGTTGGAGCTTCTCTCGGGCAATCCATGTATACTCAGAGTCATGTTGATCTACCCAACAAACAAGGAAGTTCTAAATCTCTTTATCATTGGTCAACACAATCTGTTCATCTAAATAACATCAATTTTATCTGTGTGTTGTACCATGTAGTATTAGAGTAGAAATAGCAACATATTCAAGTTGGGGTTCCATAGATAAAAGTAGAAAAAGATCATAAAGGAAATAAAAATGGCATTTGTAGGTAACTAAGTCCACAACATTGAAAGTAGTGTGGTAGCCAAAATGTGATGAAAGATCAATGACATATGTATTTGGACCAACACGCTTTAAATTTTAAAAGTATCAGCACTACAAACTTGCAATATAAAATGGATTGTGCTACATGTACACTCCATTGTTTACACAATCCTTTACACCCCTCTCACATGGAGGGGGCCCACAAATATTTTATTGTATGTGGACCCCCCTCCATGTGAGAGGGGTATAAAGGATTGTGTAAATGATTATGTACATTTAGCATAATCCATATAAAATAATTCCCAATATTAAATTCAACACGTCGTTTATGCAAATTAGCTCAAAATTTATATAATGCATTGCTTGCTTCATTTTTTTATTGATCTTAATATGCAAGTCATGAAGATGTTGTACAAATGCCTTGGCGACAAACACACTAGCATGTAGGGACATGTGAATAAAGTCTAAAGGCCTCCTATGCTTATAACCATGAATAACTTCAAATGGACTTATACCTATGGACCGATTCACATAACTGTTATATGCAATTTGAACTGTTGGGAGGATCAAATCCCACTTCTCAAGATTTTCTAGGATGAGACACTTTAATAAATTGTCAAGACTTTGGTTAGCAACTTCAGTTTGACCATTATTCTAAGGTTGGTTTGCATTGGAGAATTTCAATTTAGTGCGAACCATAGGTGACAGGGTTCTTCAAAAGTGACTAGTGAAATCGTTAGCCTCTTTGGGTTGAGTAAGGGTACGACATAAAACACATAATCGAGCGGTGTCGGTAACAAGGGGTATATTACCTAGAGTCTCAGAAGGAGTCCAAATACCACATAAGAAGGTATACTCACTATCATCCAAGTCATCAAAATCTTCAAGTTTAGGTTAATAGACTAGATCTTCTAATGGCTTATCTATTACATTCTTTTGTTCTTCAATGACTAAGGCTCGGCTAAGACATTTAGAAGAGATGAGTCCTTGTAGTTGAAGCACTGCAAGTGAGAAGAAGTCCTTTGGAATTTTAGAAATTTTATCCTTATTTTTCAACATAGGAGGAACATTAGACGATGAAGTTCTTCTGATAGACTTAAGAGGAGGCGGCCCTGATAAGATGGATGCACGGTTGTAACCAAGGTTTTCATGCGGAGTACCAATAATAAACTCATAATTTCGGGCTAAAGAGTAATAGTGATCAAGAGTAGTGACACTCCGAAGGAAAAACTCACGCCTAAGAGCATCTCTTAGACATTGTCTAAACCTACACAAAGTCAAGGCCTCATTCTCAATGACTTGGCATTTCATTCAAAATTCTTTAAATTGAGCGATAAATTCAGTTCCTAGCCGACTCCACTCTGTAAGGGTAGTCAATTGAGTAAAAACTTTAGAATCTAAGCAACCATCGAAAGTAGGAGCATTTACTTTAATGTTTCTAAAGAAACACTCCTTATAACGAGGAAGAGAATGAGTATCGGGATGGTTATAGCGTCGTTCTCGCTCACGAACGAAAATATATTTGATCATCTTGTTAACGACGATATTGTCTATTATGGGACACTTCAAAATTATCAATATTAGTCGAATGAGAAATTTGCTTAAAATTGTTGAGACTAGCAGTTAGGCATCTACTCTCTTCAAGAGTAACAATTATTTGGATTTGGATAGCTGCTATTTGACGGGTGAGTGCATCAAATTGTGAAGGGCCCGTGGTTAGGGTACTGAAACTAGAAGTGACAAGATGAATTGCATGCACTGTCATAGCAGTTAAATGACGTATAATTGAGATATCAATGAACATTAAGTGCAAGAAATGGAAAATAACAACTTGAGCATTTTTTTATTTTGGGTTTAAATAAATCCAAATATAATAAGCTAATATTGCTGATATATGTGAAATAACAAAGCGATGGTTAAATACTAGTCAAAAATCTCATCACGTAAAATAAGTGGAGTAAAGCGGAGATTTAGTGAAGTCAAGGAATTCAATCATGTGATATTAGGTAAAACTAGAATAACAATAAAAATTAATCGATGAAATTTTAGAATTACAGTAATATAAACCAAAGATAAAAAAAAAAAAAAAAATTAACTCCCCTTTTCATTTGTTGAAGTAGCTTTGTCAATCAACCGGAGTAAAATATTACCTGTAAATAAGGTTAGAATTTTATGCTCGTACATATAGATAATTTTGTATGTGGTCGCGGATGTGCCGGTGATGGTCTATGTTCGTTATTGCCACTGGCAAGGATTATGGTTTAGATGGGATGATTGCCGTGAATTGGGCCGGGTAATGGACTAACGGGTAGTGGGCCACGAATATTGGGTTTTTATTTAGGGTTCGGGATGTGGAAATTACATCATACCAGAATATTAAATTTCCAATTTCAAAATTCAGATTTGTAAGTTTTTATTTCAAAAATCAGATGATAATTCAATTTTTAATACTAATGATATATTACTAAATTAAATTAACCCACGCACACATCACTTCCCCAGCCCAAATTCCCGTCCCCTTCTCTCTCTCTCTCTCTCTATATCCTCCTCCTTCTCTCTTCTATGCCTTTAGCACACACCACCACCGGAGGCCGTCAACACTGCTCGTCGCCATTAGGTAAGCATCGCCGGGCGCTGCGTTGCCGTTCGCAGCAGCACCTTGACAGTGAGCGCGACGTCGTGCAAGGTCCAGCGCCTCTGTTTATTTTAGGTGAACGGCGACAGTCTTCCTTCGATTTGCGTTGTGGGCGTTTTAGGTGAACGATGCCGTGATTTATAAGTGCCTTGGGTTTTGGGCTAGCGGCATTGTGATTTGTAAATGGTAATGTTTCTTCTTCCGATTGGGGTTTCTTTGGGTGTTGATTATGGTGCTGTTGGTAAGGTGGTAGTGCTAGTGGTTGTGGTGAGTTTTGGCAGTAGTGGTGCTGGTAATGTTGAATCTGGTGAAGGTGGTTGTGCAATGAGTGCTGTATATTTTTTTGCAGATTGGCGAAAATCAACATTTCTGTGAGGAGATAGTGGCGGTAGTGGGCATTGGTGGTTGTGCTACTATTGTGTAGGGGTGGTGGCAATGGCGGCGATTCAGTGGTGTTGCATTGGTGGGTTTGCTGGTGGCGGGTTGGGTTGTCTTCTAAAGGTAGATCTGTCGTTTTTTTACTGATTTTTACAGGGGTGGGGGCTGTGGCTGCGGTGCGGTGGTGTTTCTTTGGTGGGTTTACTGGTGGCGCGTTGGGTTGTCTTCTAAAGGCAGAGCTGTCATTTTTTTACTGATTTTTTTTGTGTGTGGTTGTGGAATGTGGTTGGTGGTTGTGCGTGCAGTTGGTGGTTTGCGGCGTTGTGCATTGTGTTTTGTGGTGGTTGTGGAATGTGGTTGGTGGTTGTGCGTGCGGTTGCTGTGACCAATGCTGTGACTTGAGCCATGTGCTGTGACCTGAGCCATATATTGTGACCGATGCTGTGACTATCAATAAAAACCTGAGCCATGCCCAAAAAAATATTTTGTGACCTGTGCTGTGGCCATTTGAAATAAACTTATGACTATCAATAAGAATCTGAGTCATTTGAAAATAAAATGGGACTATGAACAAAACTGTGACCTGAGCCATGTGCAATATATGTACTGTGACCGATG